CAAGTTTCGGGGAGCAGATCTGAGACTTCACAGGGAAATGATTGCAGGCTGAGAAATTGGAGTCACTCTTCAGGGTAAATCTCAGACTCGAGCAAAGGATTTTACAAGTAGGTCCCGGCTATTACAATGCCTGTTTGATCCGGAGCACCTCTTTAATGGCTGGACATATGGCTGCTATGGGGCCTGGGGGTGGAAGGGGGCCCCCCATGAAGGTTTGCTGAAGTTGCTGTTGACCCTGTACCCCTTATGATATTTCCAATCAAGAAGGGTGGATATCCGTTATACACGAAGAGACTATGCAGACAGCTCTCCTGCTACCTGTCCTTGATTTAGTTTTTTTAGGGTTTGCCGTGGGGCCCTAATAAAATTTTACTATGGGGCCCCATGATCTGTAGTTTCGCCTTTGTGGACAGCAGATCTGTTCTGGGCAGGGAGAAGAGAAGATGCACAGGCTCCAGCTTCTCCTTGGATCCCCGCTGCCCTCCCCCACCTGTATGGGCAGTATATATATGTACAGATCACACCGGAGCGAACGTTGTATTCACTGGAAATAAAAATCGGAATCTTTATTGAAACGTAATCCTCCTGTCCCATCGCACCCCTGACCGGACAAAAACCCAAATCCAACTGGGTGGGTGCGGTGGTGACAACGGATGCCTCCGTGAAATGTAGGTAGATGAAAGTAGTCACTCGCACTCTATGATACAACACACATCTCCTCAGCAAGCTTTATTGAGGTGTAACACGTTCCGCGAATAAAGAAATGTCACATTGTTCATGAACGATGCCGGTTATTTTCCTGTGTTATATGTAACATACATCACATGTTCCTATGTTATAAATCTGTAATATGTAGCAGATCTTCAGTCAATAATACATTTGTACACATGACACCAGACTGGCTCAGCAACTACATCACTGTCCCTCCTTCTTCTTTCTTTCGGCACAAACCTTCAATGGATGAGGACACTGATTATGTGACGGTTATTTTTAGCCAATTGGAATATAAACTGGAAGTTGCGGTCACGCGTCCCATGATCCCTATCGCTGTGTCAAAGCTTTGTCAATGGAACCTTTTGAGAGACGCAGCAGTACAAGCACCGGAGTGTGATTCATAAACGAGTTGCCTGCAGCTGAGGGGGTGCATGGGCCAATCAAAGGAAGGGAGGTTGCTAACGGTAATCATTGCTGTGAGTCTGATTCCGGGGTGTTACATGCCAGTGATGAGCCCGGGCTCTTGTTACTGCACAGCGCAAGGACAGGTAGACATGTATCTGGCTGGCCTTAGGGCCCATTTTGGGGCAGTGCGTTGGAGGCTGAGCATGCATGTTACCTCCAGCATTGGAATGCGTTACATTAAGTGGGCCCATTGAGCTGCCAACACTTCAGAATGGACATGCAATGTTTTTCCTGATGCAGCACACAACGACGCATGATAGTGAATTGCTGTGTGTTATGATGCAATGCACCAAAATGGGCGTCAGAGCTGCATTGCCATTCGAAATGCGATACTGTGATGTGTCATTCAACCCTGTGATTAAAGCAGAACTCCGGGAATTTAAATACCGGCTACCCCTATACTGCAAGGGTTAAGTGCTCATTTTGTCTAGGGGGCTCAAATAAAGCAGTCTCTGACCATCTCCAGTAGCATGCCTGCAGTCTCTGACTGTCTCCTGTGGCATGCCTGCAGTCTCTGACCATCACCTGTGGCATGCCTGCAGTGTCTGACCATCTCCAGTAGCATGCCTGTAGTCTCTGACCATCACCTGTGGCATGCCTGCAGTGTCTGACCCTCTCCAGTAGCATGCCTGCAGTGTCTGACCCTCTCCAGTAGCATGTCTGCAGTCTCTGACCATCACCAGTAGCATGCCTGCAGTCTCTGACCCTCTCCTGTGGCATGCCTGCAGTCTCTGACCATCACCTGTGGCATGCCTGCAGTCTCTTTGATGATGCCTAGTTAGGGTTGCCACCTGTCCTGGATTCCCCTGGACAGTCCGGTTTTTGAGTCCTCTATTTGCTGTGTCCAGGTTTCAGGCCAAACCCAGACACAGCACGTACAGGACTCAAAACCGGGACTGTCCAGGTGAATCCAGGACAGGTGGCAATCCTATGCCCAGGGCCCCCACACTTGAGGTCCTAGGTCCCCCTGGGCTGCTACACCGGCCCCCGCAGGCTCTTCTTCCCTGGGCTCAAGCAGTCTAAGGATCTGTGATGTCATCATATTTTATATCTTTTGTGGGTCCATTGACTTGCATTAGACATGGGAACACCGAGGCACATTCCATAGCTGAGCTGGGGGTGGGAGGGGGCAGAGAGGTGAGTGCTGACTGCTGAACCGAGGATCAGGTGAGTGTATCACCTTTATCTGAGTCCCATAGACAAAACCAGCACTTAACCCTTCCAGCTCCACTACAAGGGTACGTTTTTCTTTAAGGGACCCCGTCAGGCACCAATAAATGTCCTCACCTCTCCTGTGGCCCGTGTCTCCTACCCCCCTCCCCCTCCATTGGAGCAGCAGTAGCATTGACCTACTGCATACGTGTTGTTGGCTAGTGGCTTCTTGTATTGTACTCATTGGATCAATAGGACAGCCAGGCACCCAGCATTTTCAAGAGGAGGCCAGCAATGGTGCCCCTGAAGAAGTCTGTTATGAGCATTTTCTGTATGAGTTCACGCCTCATCCTCCTAATAGCTGGCTTTCCATTGGCCGAAGCAAAAGCCCCCTCGGCTGGGCTTCAGGTGTTTAATTTAATGGTTCCAGCATCTAAGGGGTTACTGCTGCTCTCATATCAATTGTGAGGCTCCCAGGGTCAGGTGATCACCGCCTGGGCCTGCAGGTCTGAGCTATGGCTGCAATGTTCTCTGAAATGTTATATTTATTATTGTTACCTGCAGCTTAGATTCCTGAAACCCGTCACGTGTTTGTAATTCAAACTGCATTTTTAAATACAAAAGCCTGTGGTCACCGTGCAGGTCTGTCCTCGTGTTGTAGAGCGGATTGAAACGATGTAGATGTTGTTTTTTACATTCTTCTTTACAATCTGTTTGTGGACAGGCAGAATTGTTGGTGCTTTCCTCATACTTGTTTAAATGCTTTCCATTCCTTTTCTTCCTTTTTTTTGTTGTTTTCCTCTGATCATTTAAAAATGAAACTTGCTAAGAGAAATATCAGATGCGGCTGAAGTAGGTTTAAGGGGCTGTAGGGAGCACACATGTGGGAGCGTTGCTGTTTAATAGTAGTGATGTCTGGCAGCAAGATCAGGAAATGAGAAATCAGTCTATGACTGTCTCCTGCATTATGTCCCGAGTCTCCATCGACTCTTATAATATGCCCGCGGTCTGTGACCATCCCCTGTGGTTTTTGGCCATCTCCTGCGGCGTGCCTGCGGTCTCTGGCAATCCCCTGAGGCATGCCTGAGGTCTCTGGCCATCCCCTGCAACGTACCAATGGCCAGAGACCGCCGGGTCTCTGGCCATCCCCTCTGGCATGCTAGAGGTCTCTGTGGCGTGCCGGCGGTCTCTGGCCATCCCCTTCAACGTACCGGCGGTCTCTGGCCATCCCCTCTGGCATGCTAGAGGTCTCTGTGGCGTGCCGGCGGTCTCTGGCCATCCCCTGCAATGTGCCGGCGGTCTCTGGCCATCCCCTGCAATGTGCCTGCAGTCTCTGGTCATCCCCTGTGGCGTGCCGGCGGTCTCTGGCCATCCCCTGCAATGTGCCGGCGGTCTCTGGCCATCCCCTGCGGCATGCCTACAGTTTCTTTGATGCCCTTGGCCCCACACTTGATGTCCTCTGTCAGGTGAGTTGGCTACACTGCGGTGGATGTTGCAATAATGATCCCAAATGGCCTTTTCCTGTGTAAATTGGAAACTTGGAAATGTGTTGTTGTATCTAATGATCGGCTTCCTGATGGTGACAACGGTGGCCCATTCCTGGGCAATGTGTGTCAGCATCAGCACAGCCTCTTGTAGTCACCACCAGGCTGAAGGGTGTGACAACACAGGAGCACAGCTGGGAGACAGGGACAGAGTCTTCTCCTCCTATGCATGGCAGGATCAGCAGATATTTCTTTGATGAAATCTCCGTTTTCAAAAATGTAAAACAACTTTTGCAATGAAAATGACTGAGTTAAAATGTATCTGATATCTCTGTGATTTGGGTTTAGATCTACTACACTCCCTGATTGATGGATCGCGTACTTGTATAACTGCAGATTGTGTTCTTTGTAATCCTTCTTTTATTTCCACCCACATAAGCTTGGAAGCGCCATGGACCGGACAAGTCTACCAGTACCTGCCAGCTCTCCAGGTACGGCATTGAACTTCTATGTAACGATAAAGAATCAATTGGGCTCGGGTGATCTTTCAAAAGTGTTATTGTTGTTCTCTGACCCCCTTAATGCTGGAACGAAAGGGAAGCATTCCATGGGCTTCCTAAT